GGGGGGGGGGCGTATTAAAAGGGTAGTTAATATTTGTTTAAATGTTCCATAATGATTTGATACATTCTGTGTAATTGTTTTTGCCATCCTCGTGGGCCTGTTGGTGAGCAATGGGCCACGGAGTAATATCCCCGGCCTCCCCGCCATCTCGGTGGGCCTGTAATGAACATCAACTGCAAAAGAATTGACTGTATAAGCCTATGTACTTAATATTTTAATTTTTTTCCCTCGAAAAAACAACAACAAAGTTTAGGCATTGAGAAAACTTAATTCGAAACGCCAGGAGATGACAAGTGAAAATACAATGTAGTTAAATTTCAGTATTAATTTGACACTTCCAGTCAACAGAGTAACAACGTAAATGAGAAAATAAAGAATCAAGAAGAACTCTTACTTACTGTGGTGTGGCTGTATTCGTAACCATCAGGATTCATGACAGGGAAGATGCACCATCGTAACCATCCAACAGCTTTGTAACATTAGCATCTATCTCATAATCGTTCAACAGCTTAACATGAAATATAAGCGAATTTCAGTTTATGCATTAAAATTTGTAAAAAGAATTCTAGTTTCTTAAAAAAAGGACTAATATTTTAAAATCGCATATAGAAAACTTTCTCGTAGATTCTGACCCCTCAGTGGCTCAGTGGTATATATATATACTTGAGGGCTTATACGCGCAAAATCGAGGTTGGAAACCCGCTATAGTAACAACGTAGACAGTCTATTCTGTAGCGTTGCACTTAAAACACAAAAAAACATGGATTCTTAGAGTGTTGTTCAGCTTAGTCAAAGTTAGATAACTTGAATATCTTTACATTAACGGTAATAACAAAGAAAACAACGTATTTAAATTAGTGTACCTTAAAAGCGGCTTGTTCTAGGGGAATTAAATTTTACACAGGCAAATTGAGAATAATAAGTTTCATTCAGGAAAGTTAAACATAGTAATAGGTGTTTCAAAAATCGTCACAAGCTTGTCGTTAAATGATGTTATAACTCTACATGAAATTAAATATTACATAAAAATATATATTGGACGTAAACTAGTTGCAAGTTGCATGGCGTACATTCCCCCCCCCCCCCCCCAGTGGCACAGCGGTATTTCTGCGGACTTACAACGTTAGAAACCGGGTTTCGATACCCGTGGTGGGCAAAGCACAGATAGCCCATTGTGTAGCTTTGTGCTTAACTTCAAACAAACAAACAAACTCTTGATGAGTTTCAGTTTCTAGCGACCACTTCAACTCTCATCAAGAGATGGGAATACCTACTAGCCTTCCTTTCAGTCAACATGGCGAAAGCACAAAAACGACGATCAGTAGTACAAGAAAGAATTAGCATAATATTCATAAAAGGGTTAAGGTTTCATTCTATTATTTATAGACATATATATTTCATTGCAAGACGTCGAACAATAACAAAAAAAGGAAAGGCTTCGGGATAAGTACTACAGGAGCGCTCACACATACATGTCCGGAGAGCCATGAGAGTTTTGGTGGCACGTACTACCCCCCTCCTCTCCCCAGATTCGCTAGTGATAACCATCCCTAATTTTGAACTATATTCAATGGAGGAAGGGCAGTCGAAGCATCCTCTGGCGATGGCTTTATTTAGCCTCTTTGAGTGGAATAGAGGGAGTAATAGTCACTTTTATAACGCTCTCATAGGTGAAAGTGCGGCTGTTCAGCGGTATCACGTTTCAACCCCTAACCTTCCGATACACAGCCCGACACGCTATTTCTGATGTTTTTATTATAAACATTCTGTGGTAATATAGTATTGTTTCAAACTGTATATATATAAACTCTAAAACGTATAATGTACGATACTTCGAAACTCGTTTGTTTCGCAATACACAAAGAACTTATATCAAAAGTGTATTGCAATTCAAAGCCCCAGCAACTAACAACAAAGGGAGAACATTAAGTTTCTAAAGTGAAATAGCAGTCTAGGAGAATCGTATTTTTATTCTTTTTGACGGATCAGATGTTTTTGTTCACTCGACGCATGTTTAACTTCGTAGGCGAGTTTTTATGTTTGATCAGAAGTTCTACAATACATTGAATGTAGTATAGTTGCCTGAAGTTTATTGAAAAACTTTCCAATAACATTTTTTAAAGAATTTTAAAGATCTAACGCAGTCTTATAGCAAATGGGTAGACACTTGTTTAGTATATAAATATCGTAAACCTTTTAATAAATTAGAATACGAATATATTAATTCAAGATAGTTAAAATCACGTAGGAGAGGAAAAAAAAGTAAATCACATTCAACAACATCTTATAAAAACCCTAACGCTTTCGACACATAGGTTCATCTTTATCAGGGTCAAATGTTTCAATATTCCAGTACGTGTTTCTGCATTTATATACATGCTTCAGATTATACAAGACACACACAACTTTGAACTACACTAATTTTGCCCTTAGAATTTGTCTCATCGTATTTGTTTGTGTAAGTTTGGAGCGTGTCTATCCGGATGCTTGCTTATTGGATGTTGTGTAACATGGGTCTCAATGTATGTGAATTTGCTGAATTGTCTATAAAGTGGGTCTTAATGTAACATCTGACTTGCTGGTCACATACAAGGACTGAGAAGTTGAAAGCTCTAGTTTCCCCTTTTACTGTAAACGGGGCTTGCCTAATAACGTGGTATTCTGGAATGTTCTCATCTCTAGAGATAAGAATTAAATATAATTGGAAGGAAAGTTTATTATTCCACACATATTTAGCTGGTGAAGATATCTCGTGTATTTTCTATAAGTAGCACAGTTGGCCTTCATGTTTTATTTGTTGTTTTCATAGTTTCTGAAACATCTTGTTTCAATCTCTTTTATTCGCGATTGAGTCAAATTTATCACTAAACACTTCATTTGAAAATCCCAAGCCTCTCCTTATTGTGATTATTAACTTACTTTAATTTTCGCCAAGTGTACCTTGCAGTATCACAACTGCAAAGTTCGTTTCTTCTAAATTTCAATTGAAAACAGCCAGGAATAGATATGTTAACACAAACTAGAAATCAACAATTAATATGCTGAGCATATTCACCATGAGTTTTTTTGATAAAGAAAAAAGAAAAGAAAAACAAATCCACAGGATAGATTCTCTTTGTAATTTTACCTTACCTTCGTGGCAATGTAGAGAGCGCTGGAGGGAGTGATCCATTCCCGAGCATGAGTACCGCCATCTATCCAGATAATAGGCTTCTTAGAACTCTTATAGGTGGTGATCTGTAAATTATAACACTTTGAGTTCAACAAAATATTATACGTTTTCGTATAATATCATAAACCTTTATCACCGAGGAGCACGTTCCCATCAATAAAGTGACCGTTGATTAAACTTTTTAATACAATTATTTTTTTAGAAGTATGAGTTTCAACCTACCGAGTCGATTTTAATATTTTTTTTAAATCTTCAAGTACTGGTGATCGTAAAATTTTTGTGAGAATATTACGTTTGTTCACCAGGTTCTATTATTGTTAACTCAACAATGTTTTCACTTAGTTTATTGTGAAAGTATACATTACACATTGTTTATAATGTAATTAGCAGATGTGTGTTGAAACAATTCAACAGCAATTTTCCTAAATATAAAATATGCAGATCAGAGCGTTCATGCAATATGATTGTATAGTGGGCCGTTTACAACTGTCTTTTGTCATTCCATGTTATTTCAATAACGAAAATTGCATTCCGTTTGATTTTAGGTAAAGGAGACTGAATATAATGCATTTTTGGCAAAAATCTTTGGTTTTTTTCATGTAATGGGTTCATCTAACATATTATAGCGCTCAGCTTCGCTAAGTAGCCTTTGAGATTTTTTTCCAATGGATGCCGCCGTTCCCTGTGATCTAACTGAGCGCAAGAAAAAACCGCTTCGGAAGTAAGTGCTTTTTTGACAGTTGTCATTTCTCTAAGAAGTGTCAAAGGATAGATATTTAATTCAATTCAGTTTATTCGACATGGTACAATAAAAATATGCAAGTGTATAATACAGACATAAAAATATATATATATATATAGAAACCGCACAACAACAAATATATCCTCAAACACGTTTTTTCTCTTTATGCGTTTTTTCCATTCATGCTCCTATCTCCAAAACATTTCTTTCAATCAGTCGACGGAGTAAGTCCCGTTTTTTTCTTTAAATTCCCCCACAAAAAGAAACATTATTCTTCTTAATAAGTTTTTTCTCAGATTGACTTTTCAGCATATACAAATACTGGCAGATCGATGTTGATGTCCATATGAAGTTTAAGGAATTGCAAAAAAATTAATAATTTTCCTGTAATGTCCTTTTGAAAAGAAGCATTTTGATATATATTTGTATTTTACGAATAACCGTTCAAGAGATACAGAGCATGACAGACAGACATCTGGCTGTTATATATATATATATATAGTCAATCGCCCTAACCACCTGGCCATGCATGAATGTTTTATGAGCATGTTTTCTAAAAGTTAATTATATTATAGTAACATTATATGCATAAAGAATGTTTATCCCTTTTCTAGTATTTCACGAAAACAACCATTTTTGGTATATTTGGTCATGTCTTGTAAGTAGTCTTTGGTTAGAAATTTGACTTATGTATATTTTTATGTTATGTTCAAATCTGTTTCTTCATAAAACCTTATAGATCAAACCATGTGAAAATTGTTTTGAAGAAAATATTCCTACATGGTCAAATTTATGACCCTGTGAATTATTAATTGTGATGGCAAAGTATTTGAGAGTGAAGGAAAAACGTACAAAGGTATAACTTTTCAAAAAAAAAATGCTTATAAAAGTTTTGATTAAATTTTAAAAATCTCTTACCTAAGTTGAACATTAAAAATAATGCATTATAGCGCCATTTGTTGGGTTGAAAATATATTTAAGTTGTGTTTGATACAGACAGACACTGGTGTTTATAAGTATTATGATATCATCCCTTATAAGGGTGCGCTGTAGCGATCCCTATGGAGGGATGAGTCCGGTTGAAATTGGCAGCTTGTACATTTTGAGCATGGTTGCGCGTACGCTAGGACATCGACAAACCCTAATCAAAGGGCCAGCAGAAAGCCCTTCACTAATTAAGTATAAAACTGCCTCTAAATGTCAGCTAATTTTCTTCATCTTTTTTTCCTTTCAGTCAGCTCTAACTCATAGACCACAATGTGGCTACTTTCGGCTTACACACCAAACACTTCACTACTCCTTAGGATGCGTCTTTGAAACCTAGAGCCCCAAGTGGTCCACTATAGGTTAGTTACACCCAAAATATATACAGTGATATAGATTGTTTAATATTACCCAATACGCAAATCAATTAATAGATGGCACCACTTGTGAAGCTAATCGTAAAAAAAGAAGAAGAAAATTCCAAATATTAGCATTAAAAAAGTTTATTCTAAAATTGTTGGGATGGAAAAAGATCGGAAGCCAGAGAGCATTTGGGATTGGACTGCATTATACATTCCTCCATTCCACCACCTAACTTATATATGCATCAACCTTATGACCTTTCCTTATAGGGATTCTTAATTTACTTTGCTTTTACCCAAGTGAAATGTTAGTTTCTTTTAAGTTTACATTGAAAACAATCAGGAACAGATATGTTAATACAAACCAGAAATCAACAACTAATACGCTGAGCATATTTACAATGAGTTTTTTGATAAAAAAGAAATCCATAATTACCTTCAGGACAAGAAGATCTCGACCTTCAAAAGACTTTCCAATAGAAAAGGTAGAAGCTAGTTTGGGATATTCTGATGCCAGATATTTCATGTATTCGTGAATCTGTTATGATGTAAAATCTGAATTATTAGAGAAATTTCTATTATAAAAGAAGAATGCTCTCTTTGCACGTTTCTCAAGATAACATGACTGAAAAAAGTCAACTAGAAATAAACTACAAGTACAGCAATATATAATTATTTTTCACTCGATTAACAAAACACAAATATGCATTTGACAAGTACTTAACTACACAATAAAATAATTATAATTCTCGACTTCTTGAATTAGAGAAGTGAGTTATGTAATACATTTCGTAAATTAATATTATTTTTAGACTTAATGTGTGAAATCTTGTTTTATATGATAAATACAATAGGATATTATCTTTTAAAGGCCATTATCTGTTATCGCCAGCTTTGTGTGATAAGCTATTTCATTTAAAGTATACAAGTTATATAAAAAAGTTGAAAACGAATTTGCAGTATTTGACAATGTCTAAAAAAACACAGTAAATATAAACCGTTTAATAAAAGTTATCTGATGAATTAATTACTAAATAACTAAGTTTGATTTTGATTTCTGGAAATTGTTTTCTGTACATTAAGACGAATGACATTAACTAATGAGAATATTATCCACAGATAAAATTCTGGAAAGTTGAAGTCTAATTTCGTTTTTAAACCATCAGAGTGCAGTCATGTGTTGATAGCTTACATTGAGATTGGTTGTCATCCAATCAACCAGAAAGTGCCATACCAGTATAAAACTTATAATTAAGATGAAGATGAAAACACACTTAAATGTTGTCGTCAACTGTTAGTTCTTTAGCTACAAATATGGAAATTCCAGTTACCTCACTGAGGCGATGGTAAGAGGAGAAGAAAGTTGGAGGTGACCGTCCAGAAAGTTTATTGTTTCTATCAGAACCTCGTTCCACTTCAATAGCTCTAACAACAAGAAGCGATAAACTGTTAATATCGTAATTACACAGCAATGGTGCTTTCTTTTTCGGTGAACTAAACGTTGGACTTCGTTGTGGTCACTGATAAGTCTTATTCTCAAATCAGCGTTAAAGCCACTGTCTGTACGATTAAAACAGTAAAGGCAACAAATCAAAATTCATAATAGACACAAGTGCTTTAACTTTATAAATCTTAAGTTTCTAATTTGTTTACTACTGATGAGATCCACATATTGCATATACTGAGTAATTTGACGTTTTCACCTGTTGTAGCGTCCAGTTAAAAAAATGACAAAAAATTGCATGAAATTACTCATTTTCTATGTAAAATACATTGGGAACCTTAAAAATAATTAATTGGATTAACTGCAAAATTGATGGTGTTTTGATTATTATATTTATTTTTTACTGAACAATGCCTGAAAAAAATATATGTTGTTACATATCAGCTTGTTTGTAAAATTTCCCTTAGAAATTATTTCCGAGAAACTTCTGCGATACAAGTCCTTTCTTAATTAAAACTAGTTTATTCTCGTTACAAACTTTGTAATACACTTAATTTCCACAGTCACTTTAAACTTAACTACTTTTATAAACACACGCTATAATTCACAGCGGTTCACACACTTTACTTACGGTGCCTACTGCTCGCTTGACTCAATTATCTCTCTATATCTATCTATCTGCAATTATTTGCCGGGCTTATATACTGAAATAGAGGGCGCCTAGAAAAGACTAGAGTTGCCAGGAAAAGTCACGATCCTTCGAGAATCTCATGACATGTTACCAGCGTCACGTGACTTTCGCTGTCGTAAAAATGTATTAACGTTTTTAACATAACTGAATACCGTGACTAATTTGATAACTTGGGGGCGAGGTTCTACTTGTGTATAACTGTTACTTTTTATCGTATTCTTTTGGAAAATTAGACTCTAATGTTTCTTTTTACATTTATCAAAACAAGTCATTTGTTCGATGGATGGTGTAGTACTTGTAAAGGAAAAAAACAAATATAAATTATAATTACTTTATTGATATTTTCAAATTTCTATAACAGTGTTAAGAAAATCCCGCGGTTTATATTAATAAATACTATACTATAATTGGTTCTAATTAACTAACGATATTATGTTTGACATTTATTCACTCACACAGAAACACTTTCAGTCACTGAACTTTACGGAAAGTCTAACATGAGTGCCTTTTGTGCATTTTAATATGTGTACAGCCTTAGCAGTCAATATTAAAGGTTTTAAAGTATTTTTGAACTGAAACTTTACTGTTTAAGGTGCTTTTTGCCCGAACGTTCTAGTAGGGTTTGTTCAGTTCCTTGCGATCCCTATTATGTACACTACTGTGGTTCATGATGTAAACATTTTGTTTCTTTGATTAAAAGTCTTACAAATTCCACATACAATCTTACGTAAGAAACTTTCATCAATAGACCTAACTTTACAGTAGACGCTAAATAGTCACTTGCTAAATTCTACTTCTACCGTACCTAAGACGTTTCTTGTATCTCTCTGTATTAATTAAATAATTAAACATAAACATGAGCTAACTAACTCAAAATATCACTCTAACACACTCGGTAATCAATCTTAATCATAATCATCAGTAAATTCACTAACCAATCAACCATAATCTAATCTAGCCTAACTAGGGTTTTATCCTCTCAAGCATTTCTGAAACTTTGAAGAAGGTTCTAGTCATTAAGTCATGTCTATCACGCTACGTCAATCGTCCTTTTGGCTAAACTACAATACAAATGATAAAACATAAAAAATAGAGCGTAAAAAAACAATATAACCTTATTTGTGTGTGCACTAAAAATTCGATTTATCTTTCTATTAATCGCTTGAAATATGTTTATGAGCATGAACATACCTCGCAACATTTTCGATTACAATGGTACTCTGTATGCTGTTATTCGTCAGAATTTCTTGCACCATTACGTAAAGCTCTGCTGAAACCATGATATCCACTGATCGGTTGATACCCGTAGGCCTAATCCAGAAGTCAATCTTCGAGTTTGTAACACAAAAACAGGAGTACACGTAATTAAACAACTTTAATATTTCCTATAAATTTCCATATCAATATTTTTTCGTTTTACCAATGTAGGTATTGCTTTTAGATATAAAATAAGCGATACCAATACGTCTAATGTTTGCTAGCAAGTATTGATTTAACAATCTTTTGGGGGGGGGGGAGTATGACGGCTCATAAAGAGAGATAGTTCAAATGAAAAATAATAATGCTGTTGGATACAGGATAGTAGCATGATATGAATCTTTATTTAAACATTAAATTACTTTTTAATTTATGATTAGTTTCTTTGTTTGGAGCAAAGCCACTACGGGCCCCGGATTTTCGTGTTGTAAATTCGTAGACTTACCCTTGTCCCACATAAGGATTGTTTACGTATAGATATATTTAGTACATGATAAATGAATTAGATCAAGTAATAGGAAAACACAAACTCTCTCTCTGATGGTAGTCTAGAAGAAATGAAAAGATTAATTAGACAATTGTTGACTCAAAATGGAAAAAATAAATTACAAGACAGAAAATGTTTCAGTTTCAACCTAAAAGGGCATATTGCCAGGAACTTTAATAATGTTACGTCTCCGTTTGTTAATTAACTTTCCGTAACTTCGTTCCGACGAAACTTAAGCGACACAAGTCCTTTCTTATAAAACTGGTTTATTATTTACGAATATAACTTTACCAATACACTCAACTTCAACAATCGCGCTAACAAACGCTGTAATGTCTCTCGTGCTCTCTGACTGCAATTCAATTACTCACTGTCTATACACACATTCCC